TCAAAAACAAAACTTCATTCTCAAAATACGATGACATTACTTTAATTTATATTAATTTTTATTTCTTGGAAACAAATGATTAAAAAAAAACCTTTGGTTCCATACTTTATATTCAGCCTGTATGTATTATAAAATACAGAAAGCATGGAACAAATGTTGAACGATTTTTCTCTACTGCTAGGAAATATTAAAGAAAACAACAACAAACCTATGTAATTGAAGAGAACTACTGAGTCGAAATCACATCAAATTATTAACTTGTATTTTAAACATTGATATGAGAATGCTGGATGCTTGAAATCCCCTAAACGAACTTTTGTTTTTTTTCTGTTAAATTTGTTGTTTGTATATTAACGTTTTCTTTTACTTCCCACACTTTGTTTCTTGTTTTTTACATTTCAACGTAGTATTGAGCAATTGTGCAAACTTTCAATACTTACAAAATTATCATAATAATGACGATAGTTTTTTTAACATCATTTATTCCATACTTTCTGTATTTTATATTAAATTTATAAGCAACTATCGTAAAACAGTTTCGCGAATTTTAAGACTTCTTGTATATTTGAAAGTACGTGCAATAGGTTTAGATTTCATAGGTTGAAAATTTTTATTTTTGAAATAGTTTTTCATCAATGATTAATATAATAAAGAATAGAAATAAATTTAAACATGCGTTTATAATTTGAAATAGCTGATCGAATATATAAGATGAATGATAAAAAACCTTCACCTTGTATACACTTTATCTTGTTGTTAGACTTTTTATTCATATAATAAACACCAGAAAAAATATACCTGCAGAAATTTTGCTCAACTATTTGTTACCATAAAAACACAGGGTGAAACAAAAACAAATGCCAATATTACTATCACAACATAATAGAGTCTGCTTTAGTGCTCACTTCCGTTTTCTAAGAAAAAGTTAACTGTGGTACCATTAAAGTTAATTTTGATGTTTTTATATTTTACATTTTATTTAGTATTTTAGCAAAATTCAATAATCACAAAATACTTCAAACTATAGGGTATTAAATACTAGAAAAAAAGTACCTACACTTATTGCCCTTTTTTTTCTTTTTCAGTGAAATTTTGTTTACCAAAACATTTTTATAATAAAAATGTTTCAATAATGGCAACTCGTTACATCCTGTAGGATTCATTTAATTTTATAATTGTAAGTTTGGTATTAAGTAATTTTTACTTACCTACTTATACATATTTACGATTTACCTATTCAAGTGAAGCTTTTAATTTTTTCTCTTTTTGTACGAGTACTTGTATAATTTATTATTTATTAATTCTGTTAATTTTTTACATCTTACGAATAACGACTTAATTTGTCGACTGTTCTTTTATTATTTTAATCTATGATTATTTCGTAAAATAAAAAACTAAAAGTGGTTAAAAAAAATGATGGCCGAAAAATTTTAATAATATCACATTAACAAAATCATTCAAAACTTTAAACGTAGCAATTTTTTGTTAAAAGTTGTATTTGAAAACTGAATAAAATATTGGTGTAGGTATAGTCAAAACAGCCAACAAAATCTATGCTCTAAAAAGTAGGTACTCTGCCATTTAACTTTTATTTTGTGGTTTTCACAAAAAATACTCAGTTTTTATATTGTTTTGATTAAATAATAATAGCTAAATATTAAAAGGGCAGTCAATGGATCTTACGAGCATGTTTTTTATTTGTATTTTGTAGTGATTCTAAAGATTATCAAGAAATGTAAATACGTGTGTACAAAATTAATGCAGTACTTACAAATAAATAAAGAATTATTACCATTACTCTTTTTTATGCTACCTCATTTTTCTCAACCGAAACTATTTATTTTTTTCTATTAAATTTTCATTTATTGAATGACAATATCTGTGTTTATTTCAACATTAATTAATTTTTTAAACTTTTGAGATAATTATTTTATGTTTTAAATCAATACAAAAATAGATATGTATTAAAATATTTAAGTTTTTGCTTTTTATTATTACTTAAAAAACAAAAATAAATTAAGCAAAACTGGTGAAATGATTTTTGAAGATTTAATAGAATAAATTTAGTATTTAACTCGGGCGTATTGTCAACATTCAATAAATCACATCACTCGTCTGTGACTCGTGGCTCATATTTGATGATCATCACTGTAGAGTTGTAGCAAATGTACTATTTAATGATTTTTTTTTATCTTACTACATAATAATAACAAATCCTGCAAAAATAAGGTCAAAAGTCGCGGTTCCCATTTTCTTTATCCAGTGTGAAAACGTCAATTTGCTTAAGGAACCAAACCGAACAAGGTGTATAATTTCAGTTTCCTGCATTGGGAGTAAACGAAGCGTATGATTAGTTTGACTGTTGTGGAAGTTGTGTACTAATAGAAGGTGGGAATTGTAAGTCTAAGCATTAGTAGCAGGCTGGCAGCTGGTAGAGAGCAATATCGCACCTGGCGCCCCCGATATATACAGGGGTGACAAATCTTTCCACGCCCACTTGATTCTTCACGCCGTGACTTTTCAAGCCGACACGGATTTAACATGATCTGTAAATAATAACCAACTCGCCAACTGACGAAATTCAAATAGCAACTTTCATGAATGTGATACGCTCATACAATGCACTCAAAGTAATAAAATTTGTTTGGGGTGTTTGATTTTGCAACCGTTGTTCGAAAAATCACTTTAATTGTAAAAGTTTTAATCCATTCAATTAAATATATCGAGCGATCAAGAAAATTTGTAATCGAGTCTTTCTTGGATCGGAAAATGTATGTCTGTAAAATGTCAAGTAAAATGACAAGCCGAAAGGTAAAGTGGCATGATCGAAAAGGTGATGATTATAATACCTAAATTTATAATTTATCTTCAAAAAAGAATGGTCCTACTCGTATACGTGAACGACTAATTCCAGCCCACTTTGACGTTTTACATTTCGACTTGTCATTTTATTTGACGTTTTATGTACAGTTAGTTCAAAAACAGACATACGTTCTCGGATGCAAAGAAGACTCGATTACAAATTATCTTGATCGCTCGATATATTTAATATAATTATTACATGCTTTATTACTATTATTACTTTACAAATCGTTTGCCGCTGCTAACTCGAGTATAGATATTTCATAATAAAACTGTATTTCATAACAATAATGATCTGCATAACTGTTTTATTTTTTCGAATAGGATCAATCACTACTCACCAGTGTATTCATCATTGCTAGCACATGACACAATAATATCTAACAATAACATGAATAACAAATTTTCTCAAAATTAAATTTACTTATTGCGTGTAAAAGACTATTCGTATTAACTAACATTGCTAACAAGTAAGAATAAGTGTCATAATAAATAAAAAACATATTTTAGCAGCTACCACATAAAAGACTTTTTCTACAACTTGTACATAACTAAAAAATGAACAAAGATTTATTAAAAAAGCAAGCATGTGGTTTTTAAAAAATAGTCTTGTAAAATCCATAACCAAGTAGAATATGAATAAAATTACCCCACTAGAGTTGTGGAATAATAATTTTTCTTTTTCAACAATTTTATCAATTATGTTCCTGAAAAATACTATTCATCGTTTAATTAAGTTTCTGATCAAAGTGGCCCATGACTTAGATTTAGAAATTAAGTTGGCAACATTGAAAATCAGAAGTTTTGTAGACTTGAAGAACGTTCTTCGAAATAATAAATTGCGACGTTTAAATTTGTTAGTCAATTAAGATTTTAAATTCTTGGTCCACATTTGGCAAAAAATAAATTCACGTAGTAACTTCTGTTCCGTATTAGTCTATATTATTTAATGTTGCCAACTTCCTAACTTAATAAATGTGTTCAAAATGTATCTTAATTGAAATAAAATTTTTATAACATATGCAATAACCTAAAAATTCGATTCAATTTATATAACAAAATCAATAAAAAAAATTGAATGCATATTTTGAATGGATACTTGTGTTGAATCATAATATTAAATTGCTATTGTGTTTTTTGCGAAAAAACTGACTGATCATCTAAATCCAAATCTAAATTAAAAATGAAGACGACTATTTGTGCAAAAATGAGCAACGGTACATTAGTAAAACTGTAAACAGGGAATTCAAAGCCGCAGATAATGACAATGACAAAGCTTGGGGTATAGTTTAGCATCGGCAAGCAGATCGTGGGACAAAACAGGGTGATATATGAGTCGGACCTCCCACTGAACAATTTGCCAACATTATAGCTAGACTAATGGTAGCATTGTGCCCTCTACTCATATTCGTCTCAGGGTTCGGTCAAACGTTAAACGATATTAAAACTCCCGGAGAAATCATTGAAACTTATTCTCTTCTCTTTCATTTGAATGGACATCAAACCCATATTAAATTACTGGTAATCTGTCTAGGTGAGACACCCCACCGAGCTACACTTAAATGCCTAATGACTTCAAAATGACTTGCATTTAAGCCTTGTTAGCTGTTGTTATTGAAACCAAAACCTAAGCCAGATTCGTTTATTCATCCTGGAATTATTTATTCATAAATTAAAATGTCTCGAAAATTCGTGAAATCTGTTAGAGGAGAGTAAAATCGTTTGGCTGCCGTCCAAACAGGAAATATTAAAGCTAAATTTTCCTAAACGACGTTTAAAAGAGTAGTCAGGACTAACACTTGATTTTATGATAATGGGCGATCCCGGAGAGATTTCTCGGGTGCAAAACGCTTAGTCAGGATCTGCTA